CAAAGAGAAGTTTCCTTCTTGAGGGGTGAAAATAACACTTAAAATAATACTTAGTAGTTAAGTATGCTTCTGTTTTAGTAAAGTACTGTTTTTAATAACCATGACTTAACTATCCCTTAACATGCCATTTGTGCTCCTTGGGGCCACCATACCATGTTGATCACCGTTGCTCCTTAGAGCCACCATGCCATGCTGATCACCATTGCTCCTTAGAGCCACCATGCCATGCTGATCACCATTGCTCCTTAGGGCCACCATGCCATGCTGATCACCATTGCTCCTTAGAGCCACCATGCTGTGCTGATCACCATTACTCCTTAGGACCACCATACCATGCTGATCACCGTTGCTCCCTTAGGACCACTATGCCATGCTGATCACCGTTGCTCCCTTAGGGCCACCATGCCATGCTGATCACCGTTGCTCCCTTAGGACCACTATGCCATGCTGATCACCGTTGCTCCCTTAGGGCCACCATGCCATGCTGATCACCATTGCTCCTTAGGACCACCATGCCATGCTGATCACCATTGCCCCCTTAGGGCCACCATGCCATGCTGATCACCATTGCTCCTTAGGACCACCATACCATGCTGATCACCGTTGCTCCCTTAGGACCACTATGCCATGCTGATCACCGTTGCTCCCTTAGGGCCACCATGCCATGCTGATCACCGTTGCTCCCTTAGGACCACTATGCCATGCTGATCACCGTTGCTCCCTTAGGGCCACCATGCCATGCTGATCACTGTTGCTTCCTTAGGACCACCATACCATGCTGATCACCATTACTCCTTAGGACCACCATGCCATGCTGATCACTGTTGCTCCCTTAGGGCCACCATGCCATGCTGATCACCATTGCTCCTTAGGACCACCATGCCATGCTGATCACCATTGCTCCTTAGAGCCACCATGCCATGCTGATCACCATTGCTCCTTAGGACCACCATGCCATGCTGATCACCATTGCTCCTTAGGGCCACCATACCATGCTGATCACCATTGCTCCTTAGGACCACCATACCATGCTGATCACCATTACTCCTTAGGACCACCATGCCATGCTGATCACCATTGCTCCTTAGGGCCACCATACCATGCTGATCACCGTTGCTCCCTTAGGACCACCATACCATGCTGATCACCATTACTCCTTAGGACCACCATGCAATGCTGATCACCGTTGTGGTACAACACTTTTATCCTCGCTCTTAACCATGATTCTGAAAATAAAATCAGAATATCTAGGTAAACGATTTATTTTTCTTTATCACAATAGTGCTGTGGAAATGAAGAGAACAACTCATTGTTTCTCTGTAAAACATCCTGCAGATATGCCCATCCTCACAGACTCACCAACTCCCTTGCGTCATTATGTTGCACACATACTCTTGCACGCTGCTTTGTATCCATGTGATCTGTTTACTTGTGGACTCCTCTTTTTATTCACAGTCACTACTCTGATAAGATGGAAAACGTGGATAGTTGGTGTTGATATTATTGATGTTTTAGTGAACTCCCATTGCTAAAGTTCTGCTTCTAAAGCTGTAAATGGCTGTGTGGAGGCCCAAACTGTCCTTGTACAAAGGGAATTTAAACATTTGAGAAGAGAAATAAAGTGTTTATTTCAGAAGTTTTTTCCATTGAAGATTTGTTTTTGATCTGTGTATATCTAACTAGATGGAAAAATATATTTACAAGCAGAAACTGTCTAAAACTGAAGTGTAATTAGAGCTGTGACATAATCTTTAGCAAGTGAAGGTCCAGTATAGCTTCCTTTCTTAAGGAAAAAATGGTTAGTGCTTTTTCAGTGTGACAGGATTTGTGATAACATCCTCATGACCAAAGTCCTAAACATCTTTTCTGGATTCATAGTTACATGCTAATATAAGTTGTACAGTTCCATAGAGGTTGTACATTTATTTCATAGCTGACGGTAGAAGCTTGGAACTAAAGTAGAAAACGTTATTTCCCAGAGCAGATACTGCAGAGGGTACAGAAGAGACACAGTCAGATTATAGATTCAAAACTGCTAAAAGCTAATTAGCACCAAAAGGCAGTGGTGACCAGTGTTGATTTACTGCAACCATCTAAAGGCCAGTGGAAGCAGCAAGTTTGACACAGACAGTTATAGTAGATTTATACACTTATTCCTAAGATGGATTTTTAAAAACAATTTCATTTTGATAGATTAGTATTGAGCATCCATATTCACACAAAGAAGTCTTGAATTCAGATGCCCTTCTAGCTCCTGGAAATCAGGTTTAGTGACAGTTATGGGAATCTAGAACAAGCCAAAAAAAAAAAATCTTTGTGTTGTACTTGAAATAATATAGAAACAAGCAAATAAAAAAATTAGCACATTTCTTGCTAGAAAATTTTGTGTCTCACATATTTAGGAGGTCAGTTAGGACTTACCATAGCACTAACCAAGAGAAACAAAATGAGAGCCATCTAGGTCATCACAAGTTCTCTATATCTCTTTCATAAATTCAAAGAATAGGCAAAATTGATTTAATGGTGTATTTTATTTTACTCTATGCTCATAAGAATGCTTCAAAATCTAGTCAACATAAAATTTGTTGTGAGTTTCCTTGTGTGCAGAGTCTTGTTGATGTGCAGCTTGCGTTATATTTTGAGCGGATATGAACTTGGATAGGGACATTGATTTGCTAATGTCCCTAGTGGCTACCATTTTGGAAAGCATAGTTATAGAACAGAAATTTTCTTTTTCTTCTTTCTTTCTTATATATTGGGTACTAAAACCTCCTAGATGATCACCATGTGACTGACTGTAGAATGAAGGCTGTGTCCTCATTTGCTCAGGAAGGGCTTGGCACTGTGACTAATTCTCTGAATAGCTTGGATAGCAGTTGTTCAGTTCAGGGCATGGTGAAGGAGAGGCTCCGGTGTGTGTGTGTGTGTGTGTGTGTGTGTGTGTGTGTGTGTGTGTGTGTGTGACCTCCCTTTTCGTGATCATGTATTGACTGCCCTAACAGTACTATTTTCTTATTTCTGAAGAACGAAATTGTCAGTTTTACTGAGAAGTACAACTTGAAGAACTTTATTTTACAGAGATACAAGGCATGGCTTTTGTAAATAAGTGAGGTTTTTGTTTTGTTTCATTTTTCTGTTGAAAAGATGTAAAAAACCCATTCATTTAATTTTCATAATATTCTTAACCATTGGATGCTATTCCTTATATCATAATCTTTATGGGAAGGATAGTAATCAAATATATTTTGGTACTTGTCTCATTTTTCTTCAAATGTAGAAAAATAACATTTCCAATCAGAATAAAGGACATTAAGTCTGAAGTATGTTTGAATTGCATTATTGTTTGAGTATGTGGATTACCTAAACTGAGGTTAGATTTTAATAATAAAATCTTTCTCTGAAATGGATCTGGTTTAGCACTTTGTGGCTAAATGAATTAGGCTCTAAACTTTTATCTAAATCTGTGGAGATTGGATATAAATTGAAAAGATCACAGCTATGGGGAGAAGACCTATACCACAAAGGCCTTTCTGCATAGATTATGAATACCATAACTCAATAATTTTTGAAAACTCTAGTTATAATTGGACCCAATGGGGGTCTGTTTCTTTGATGAGATCACAGTAACTGTGACTTTACACTGGAAAATGTCACTACTGTGAAGGTTTATCACCTGTAGAGCTGGTCTTTCCTCTGATGCTGTGTTCATGTCTCATTAGCATTATTCAAAGTTTAGTTGTTAATTAGGTTCACACTTCAATCACAGTCATCATCTACAAGAGTAGTTAGGACTACTTGAACAAAGAAATAAAAATATTCCCCTTTACACATATGTAAAGGATAAATGGCATTATTTTGTTATCTATAGTTTATATAGGTATATTGTTGTGTTGATGGAGCAATCTAGTTAAAATTAATCTCTAAATTAGATTTTATTTCCATAAGAAAATAGAATGCAACTTCACATTTTTCTATTTAAAACATCAATAAGGAATGTCTATGAAATTTGGTGTTTTTAAGTGTCAGACTATGGTTTTCTATTTTGAATGAAAGTAGTTAGTGAAATGAATAAAAAAAGTTAACAGCCTGAGTATGAGTTCACTTACAAGTCAGTCCACTAGTTTCTTACACTTCTAAAGTGCATAGCACTGGAAGTTAGAATAGGCTTGAAATAGTGTAACTATTTAACAGCTTTTCAAACCTTTCAAATTTCTGTGTTTTCAAACATTAGTATTTTGTTCTGATTGCTGATTGGTGTAGCAGTGATATAGAACTCCAGTCCAGCATGTGGTAATGAGAAACATTGGACACTGGATTTCTATCACAACTTTGCCTCTGAATAGCCACATAGTGAAAGCAAAATGGTTCCTATCATTTGTCCCAACTTTTTTCATTCATAAATGAGAATATGAATGTTTTTCTTAGGAGAATGTGGTGAGATTTAAATGAGACAATGTGTAACATTTACATTACATAATATTCCATTCATGATATGGTCTCTGTAACTTTATCTCTTCTCTCTTTTCTTCTGATAATTATAAAAAGAGAAAATTACTTATGCAAATGACACTTCCAAACAGAAAATAAAATTGTAAGTGATCTTGAAGGACTCCTAACAAATAACAATGCACAACAGAAATGAAGGCTACTGAACCAGCTTTATCTCTAAACAAGTAGACACACGTTATAATTGCTAAAAATCTGCAGAAAAGTGCCTCACAAGCATTTTACTGTAAATAATTAAAGCTTATTTATGTCAAGAGGCCTTGGGAAAAAAAAGAGAGCATAAACCAATTTGCATTAGCACATTACTATCCTCTCCCGCTCTCCTTCAATTAGCAGAGCAGCAGGTGCTCAGTACAGCTAAAAAGATAAGCTCTCAGGGAGGAGGATGGATTTTGGCTGACCTGCACACATTGCGCTTTGCCTGCTGATTGGGTTCGTACCTCGCTGTACCAATTTCTGAGGTGTTAATTTAACTGTTCCTCTCTGCCATGCAGGTCTCGGCCTTGAAAAATAAGCTGAAGAAGCAGTCCACGGCTACAGGAGATGGAGTGGCTCGGGCCTTTCTGAGGGCCCAGGCGGCTTTGTTTGGATCCTACAGGGATGCTCTGAGATACAAGCCAGTAAGCATGCGTTTCATCAGTGTCCTAACTGCTTTTCAATGACCCTTTGATTGAGGCAAGGCTGAGGAAACATCTTAATATTACAGCTGTAGGAAGTGTTCCGGTTGTCTTTTAAAACTCAACACAGTGTGCCTCAGAGCTTATTCTTGCCCAATTCATCAACTTCTGTTTTAGCTTTTTTTATTACTGTTACCTAATAGTCCCCATGATCTTTGGCCTGTCAAACATCTATTTAAAACCATTTAAAGTTCTAGAAGTGGTATATTTACTTTTGAATGAATTGATAAATTATGTTCAAGCACTTAAAATCACTTACCTGATCTTACGATCACCAAGAAACTCACCAGGGCAGTAGAACTTAAATTAATAGATTAGGTGGGGCAGGTACAAAGTGGAAGTAAGAAAATTAGCACTTTGAAATAAACTTGGTGATATTTGGATATTTATTGTCTTCCTAGTTCATAACACTTTCTGAATTGTGCTTGCTTATTTAGCATATCTTGTCCCATCTTACCATTTATTCTAATTCCCTAAAAGGATTGTTAAATTATATCTAAGAATTTAGGTGGTCCAAAATGGTATAAGTCAAGTACATTTGTTTTTCCAGTGTTCATTAAAAGCTGTTAGTCAGGCTTTACAAAAAATTTCTACAAGACCATTCTCTGACCAGATTCTTAAGCTTATAATGTATTTTTACATTTGTAATTTGTGTGTGTGTAGGCAAGCATGTGCCATGCATGTAGAAGTCGGAGGACACCTTCAGGGGGTCATTTCTTTCCTTCCAGTATGTGAGTCCTGAAGATTTGTCCTCAGGTTCTTGGGGTTTGTAGCAAGCATCTATCTCTGGCCCAGATGTATACATTTTAAGGGTTAAACACATTGGGTTAATAAGAAGTAACACAGAGGCCTGCCATTGATAGGGTTCCATTGTTAGGCTACCTTTAAGTCTTAGTCTGTAGAATATTTGGAAAGTGAGATTTTTTTTTATGCTATCCTGGCCTGTCTTCCACAATTGATGTGCAAACCTCTTGAACATTATGAGCAATAATAAATGAAGATGTTTAATATGCTTTCTCACCTGTCTTCTGACTTAGTAGTACCTACCATGTAGCCTTCATGCATTTCACGGATTTGGGAAGTATTGGGAGAAGTTTCTAAGTAGAGGAACATATCTGCCTCCTGTCTCTAGATACATCCATTCATCTAGTTCTTGCTCGACTTGCCAGCTTTGCTTCACTGTAACAAAATACTTGAGCAAAACCAATTCTGAAAAGGAAAGTCTGTGGGAAGACTACGGTAGAGGGTGGTCCATTGTTTCTGGGGATCTGGTATGGCAGTACCAGATGACGGGGACCCAGTTGGGGAGTAAAACTCCACACATAATGACCAGGGCATGAAGAAGAGGAAAGGAAGAAGGTGATGGGATCTCTATGTCCCAACTCAGAAAACCTTCTTCTAGGCTTCCATGTCCTTCACAATTTTCCATCTTCTTCATGGACTGAAGTCCATGCCTTTAACATACAGGCCTTAGGGAGACACTTATCCCAACCCTAGCACATACTAATCTTTCTGAAACATATACATTTGAAGGCGTTATAGAATTTAAAATATTGTACCTCATAACCATAGTTTATGTGGAGAGTCTTAAAAATTATTATAAGAATCTCATTCTTTGAAAGAATGGAAACAATCATCTAAATACAGTTAAGTACATTATCATTCAAATTACTTAACTCAAAAAAAGTGAGCTTGAAAAACAAAATCATTTTTTATTTAGAGATTTAATTTATTGAAATCAATATTTTAAAATAGTAAGGAAGTAAAGAAGATAACTTGAACATACCACTTTGCTTGATTTTATTTTTTGCTACATTTAAGCACTCATTTTTATAAACTAAATTTTTACTTTTCCCTTAAAATTTGTAGAAGACTTCACATGTGAAGAAATAAATAAGTTGAAGTAAAGGTTTATGTTCTTAAATGATTCAGGTTCTCAGTGTGTTGGGTGCTGGATAACATATTGTGCCCCAACACTAACATGAATTGCCTTTGATGTAGAGCTCAATATTTACCCACTAGAATTTCATTGACCATGTAGGATAAAAAGATTTCTGTGGTTCAGAATCCAAGCTCCTCAAATCTGTATTTCCAGTGCCTGTTGGAATATATTAATTTATCATATATATCTGTCCTGTTAATCAGTCCTATCTGATTGTGAATTTATTTACCTTATTTGTAAATTTTCCCTTGATATTTATTTCTTCCTTTGGTTTTTCTACTTTGATAAATTTTGGGACCTGGGAAACTGTATTGTTATTGAAAAATTAACTTTTAGCTGATCATCATATTTATATAAGTTTCCTTTGTTTTCTCTTCATAAGGAATAACTTTTACTATTTGAAGGAATCATGGTTATTAAGAAAAACAGTTTCATTATTATGAATAAAATACATTATTAGATATATTCTTAGTTACTTTCTATTGCTGTAACAAAACAGACAAAGGCTATAAAAGAAAGCATTTAATTTGGCTTATGGTTTCAGAGGGTTAGAGTCCATGATAGTAGAGCAAAGGATCAGCTGAGAGCCCACATTGTAATCCACAACCATGAGGCTGAGAGAGATCAGTGAGGACTAGTTAGTCTTTTGAAATCTCAGAGCACTACTCTAGTGACATACCTTCTCCATCAAGGCCACACCTCCTAATCCTTCCCAAACAGTTTTACCAACTTGGGATCAAATATTCAAATATGGGAGCCTTTGGGGCCATTCTCATTTAGATCACCACATTCCATTCTCTGGCCCTTATAGGTTTATGGCCACATCTTAATACAAAATGCATTTAGTCCAACTTCAAAGATTCCCATAGTTTTTCACAGACTCAACACAGTTTAAAGTTCAAAGTCTCTTCTGAGACTCAAGGCTGTAGCTAGAGTTTTCCTGCCTGGCCCACAGTCAGGATAAATCTCTCTCACCTGCCAGTCCCACAGCCATCAGACCCAACCAAGTAAACACAGAGACTTATATTGGTTACAAACTGTATGGCCATGGCAGGCTTCTTGCTAACTGTTCTTACAGCTTAATTTAATCCATTTCCATTAATCTATACCTTGCCACATGGCTCGTGGCTTACCAGCATCTTCACATGCTGTTTGTCATGGTGGCGGCTGGCAGTGTCTCTCTCACTCAGCCTTCCACTTCCCAGAATTCTTCTCCTCCTTGTCCCGCCTATACTTCCTGCCTGGCCAATGGCCAATCAGTGTTTTATTTATTGACCAATCAGTAACACATTTGCCATACAGAACATCCCACAGCACTTCCCTTTTTTTTTTTTTTTTCAAAAAGGAAGGTTTTAACCTTAACAAAGTAAAATTACATATAATTTGGGAATTTGGGCGTAGCTTCTCTTACTACTTCCTGCTGGAGGGGAGCCCTGTATCTTATGGGGAAACAAAGAAAATTTTAGGATTATGGAATAGTCCATGAGGCTGTATCGTCTGAGCCAGATGCCTTCAAACCATTCTGGATGTTGGATCATCTGGGCCATGGTGTCATCAGAGACCTTTCAGGGGGTCTTGGCTGGTCAAACCTGATGTATCTTAATCTGGAACAAATCCATAGCCTCTGGCTTTCTGTGGGAACAAAAGCAGAGTCTCCTTTCCAAAGCAACATATCCTTATGTTCAAATTTTGAAGTCAAGGTACCTTTAAAATATACATTTTGGCATAACTCAACAGCTTTTACAATCAAATGTTTTTCTGCAGTTAAAAGTCCCAAAGACAACACCATGCAGATTCTCTGTGTAATATCCATTTTTAGCGTGGCTTATTTTTTATACTACCTTTACTGTCTCTTTAAAGACTTTATTTTTTAAAACTATGTATTTGTTTCTATAACTATATATCATCTTTTTTGTCTCTTTCAAGCCTACGTATCTTTTACACACATTGTAAACTATTACATCTGAATCTGTCTTATTGTGAATCTATTGCCTTAAACTGCAGCAGCTGTGGCTGCTGGCTCCACCCACCTTAGCTTCCTAACATGGCGGTGTTATCTTTTCCACCAGCTCTGGGAGCTACAGTGGGTCTATGCTTTTAGCCAAGCAGAGTGTAGTCCAGAAACCTCTTTTTTTTTTTTTTTTTTTTGTACTAGCAAAGTCTAAATCCACCATGTAGCTCAATGTGCCACTTGCAGAGGCCTCGTTCCTGCCATACTGCAGGTCGAGCGCACACTCCAGGAACCCACAAGTAGCTCAAACTGGCAGCTGCTGCTCATTTGAGAGAGACAATTAGGAACTGTTTTTAGCTCCGTTTTAGAATCTTTTCTCAGGTTTTAGGTGGAAATTCTTGCCCCACGTTGGACGCCATTTGTAGCTAGAGTTTTCCTGCCTGGCCCACAGTCAGGATAAATCTCTCTCACCTGCCAGTCCCACAGCCATCAGACCCAACCAAGTAAACACAGAGACTTATATTGGTTACAAACTGTATGGCCATGGCAGGCTTCTTGCTAACTGTTCTTACAGCTTAATTTAATCCATTTCCATTAATCTATACCTTGCCACATGGCTCGTGGCTTACCAGCATCTTCACATGCTGTTTGTCATGGTGGCAGCTGGCAGTGTCTCTCTCACTCAGCCTTCCACTTCCCAGCTTTGTTCTCCTCCTTGTCCCGCCTACACTTCCTGCCTGGCCAATGGCCAATCAGTGTTTTATTTATTGACTAATCAGCAACACATTTGCCATACAGACCATCGCACAGCACAAGGCAGTCTCTTAACTTTACCCTACCATAAAACAAAAAATTATATTACATATTTCCAACATAGAATGGCACAGAATACACATTACCTTTCCAAAAGGAAGGGATTTGGACACAGTGAGGAAATACTGGAGCAGTGTAAGACTGAAACCCAGCAATACAAACTCCAAATCTTGTAGTTCCATGCCTGATGTCAAAGGACTAGGTGGCTCCACTCTTCCAGCTTTGCTGCCTGCAACA